CTTTAGGAATTGGCAAGTTAGATTATTTTCAGGTGCAACTGTTCTTGAAACAAAAATCTTATTTGGTTTGTATGTATATCAATTGTCAAATGAACAGACTACAGAAATTCGCCAAATATAAGACCCAAATTTAATTGTTGATTTTAGAGGTCAGTAATTCATTTCTAGATTTTTTCATTCTATTGAAGTACATCCATTATACCACAGTATATACATGCACATATGGAAAATAATTTAAATTCTGGCATATTTATTGTAATAAAATACACTTTCCATAATAGAATAATAGCATGTATATGTAACAGTATTAGACTGTTTCCTTCCATTCTTTTTTTGTCACCTTATTTTCTGAAATTACATAATTGTTTTCTATGTCCTCTTAGAACCTTCATTTCCAACACAGTGATAGATCCATTTGCCCCTCTTTTATACACATTCCATTGCCATTAGAGGTCAGTCCTAATATATCTGAGTTCAAATAAGATCTCTGAGACAGAAACATTATTAAAGTAATAGTGATTCAGTCATACAATGGAGGCTAAGGAAATTTTGTCAGCACTTTAGGATTAATTCAGGAGCTGGACAAAGCAGAGTCTGCATGTTGAATACATCAGTGAATGTTGCATAACTTGAAATATTGTAAATATAGACTTTATCTTGAGACATTTTGTTCTTAAAATGTGTAACTTGCATGTTGAGTATCTAGTTACATTAAAATATTTATTTTCCCATTAAAATTTTCAGTTATATTTTATGTCACTATTGTACAGTTATTGTTCATTGTAAACCCTACCTCTATCACCTAACATGTGCCAGTACTAAACATTAAACCTCTCTCATTTGATGCCTGTTCTCATAATTATTATTGTAAAATTTGTGTTCTTGTAAAATGGCATTTCCCATTATATTCTTTTTTGATGGTAATTGTTACATAGAATGTCATGTTTATTTGCTTTGTAGAATTTACTTGTTTTTATCTTCTCTCTGTAAGATTTTTTTTTTTTTTGAGTTGGAGTCTCACTCGGTGGCCCAGACTGGAGTGCAGTGGCTGCTCCCGGCCACCGCAGCTTTGCCTGCTGGGCTCCGGCGATCCTTCCACCTCAGCCTTCCGAGTAGCCGGAATTACAGACATGCGCTACCACGCCCGGCTGATTTTTTTTTGTTTTGATTTATTGTAGAGATGAGGTCTCGCTGCCCAGGCGGGTCTCGAACCCGCGGGCTCAGGCAATCCACTCACCTCAGCCTCCCAAAGGCGCGGGATTACAGGCTGAGCCACTGAACCCGGCTTCTCTGTAAGATTTTTTTCTACATATATATCTTCTATGTTCTCTTGGTATTTTCAATTTTTTGTATCCTAAGTAATCATCTATGTGCAATTTTTAGAATGTGACTTACCTATCATGTCACATGGTGATGGTTATTAAAAACACTATTTTTTGTTCCTGTACTTAGAATGAACTTGTCTAGTATTTCTAGTTATCATCATTTATATAATTTGTCTGATCTGATTCAATCTTTTTTTACTGCATAGTCAGTTGACTTTTATCTGATTATAGTGATGATTTCTAGTCAAATTCCACAATTTTCTCAATGTGGAAGGAAAAAAAATGAAAATGAAAACTCTCAATTAACCTTAGCTAAACATATACTCCTCTTCCAAGACTGTCTTTTGTTTTGGTGCAAACTGCTTTGGTAGGGATAGATACTGAATAGGAAAGGGAGAAGGGAAAAAAAGAGACATAAATCAGCAGAGCACACTTGTGTCTAGATGTTTCCCACATTCAGTGTTACTAAAGGATAATAATTTCCCTGATTTGTAAAGAGAATTTTTTAAAAGTTAGATGATAAAAAATGATGTAAGTATCCTAACCCCCAACACACACACACACACACACACACACACACACTGCTCTCCAGAGTAGCACTGGAAGTCATTGTAACATATAGAGACAATAGTATTTCCTTTTCTGTTCAAGTGGGTATCTCTTTTGCTGATATCATTTTATTTTTTATCCTAAAATCATATTCATTTTTATAATAGTCAGACAGCATTCAGCATTTTAAAAAATTAATACATATTATCCCATTCAGCAGTAAATGGTTTGTATAATATCATCTCACCAGGTTTTGATCTTTTATCGAATGCTTTCTTGGTTTTATATGATAAAGTTAAGAAATATTATATTTTAATTATTATATTTTAATGATACATTATTATATCAGTGTTTTAAAGAATAAGCATTTTTGTGGCCCTCTTCCCTGTGATGAATACTTCTCTTATTAGATTCATTTTGAAAATTTGCAGTAGTTCATTTCTGATGAGTGTACATCAGACCGAACCATAGTTTGTTTTAATTAACTCTTGTGAAAAGGTGTGGGTGAGGGCTATGTATCCTTTCATTGGACATTTATATTGCTTCTAATATTTTTATAAGTGATTATGTTATAAAAATTGTTTTATACATATTTTGTATGGCTATCACTGCTCAAAATATCATAAGAAGTCAAGGGGAGTGTAAAATATTACATCTTTTCTGTCACATATAATAATGGCTTCCTCTAAATTTTAGTATGCATTTCGTTGATGACAAAGTAGAGTATAGTATAGTGATTAAAAGCATAGACTTTAATATCAAAGATATTAAATATTTAAAACAAACTCGGTTTGTTTTAAAACTTAAGGGTTTAGTGATGTTGAATGAGCTGCTTAAGTATTTTATTTTTTAATATTTAAAAAGAGATGGCAATCTATTTCAAGGTTTTTTTGTAGAATAGTTGAGATTGTACATGTAAATAATTTAGAACATATGAAACACTCCACAATACCAGATAGTATTATTAACTGCAAGTAACATATCAATTTAGCCTTCAACCTTTGGATACTTTTTAAATTTTTCAAACCACAAATGTGAAAAAAAAGTGTCAATTAAATATTGTTGGTTTTTGCTCAATATGTGAAATGATACTCTTTCATATTGTTGTTTTGGGATTGAGAGTGAAGTTAGATAAGTTAACTAATCCTTCTCATATAGGATGTATTACATTTCTAGTATGTATGATTTTATACTGCAAGACAAATGATTTTTGGTTGTTTTCCTTTCAACTAAATTATGGGATGAGGAGGACATTTATATCAGTGATAGAGAAATATTTCTCAGTGGCCTCTCTACACTAATTTCTTCTATTTGACCTTTTCTTTTCTCTTATTTAGATTTTATTATCATTTGTTTTATGCCTATTTTGTACCAATTTCTTTCACACACCAATGGATTTACACCCATTCATATAAAAAAGGCTTAAAAGTATTAAGGGTTTACTTTATGTCTAACTATTTGAATGTGATGGAACTGAATTATTCATTCTCTGATGTGGTTTAGGTTGGTGTGAGACCATGTTCATACAATACAAAATAGCTGTATGAAAATGGTAACTACCTGACCTTAGAGCTGATAATGTGTTTGTGCATAGTATTACAGTTTCTTCAAGATAGCTCCCAGAAGGGTGCATGTGTAAAATTAGCCTAATGTAGACAGACATTCTAAGATTCTCATAAAACAAAGATATCCTTTTCTGTATATATTTCCTTTTATTACTTTAGTTTTACATAGTATCTCTTTGATCTGTCATTGCTTTGAAAAATCTATCTATATCTCTGTGTTTACATATTTAATTATTTTACCGAAGGGAGTGATATTAAAGCACTACACGTTGTAATGAATTACAAAAGTGGATAACTTTTAAAGATGTTCATCCTGATTAGAATGTTAATAGTGAATAATTCCACCTTTTGATAATATGTGAAAATAAAATCAACAGAGGGGAAAGCAAAGTGTTGGCCACTGGATTTTAGAGTTCTTATTCCAGGTGACTAGTCAATAAAATTTCAGAGTTCTTGTTGAATTGGTTAGATAATTTCAGCATCTTTGGTGCAAGAGTTGCACACTGTAGTCAAATGACGAATTTGATGCATTTCATACTCTGCCTGAGCGTTTAATTGTTTTACTACCATATAGAAGGAACAGGACAGTTTTCATGAATATATTGGGTAGAGAGGCAATTTTGTCAAAATGTGTATATGCATCACTATTGGGGATATTTTGAATGCAATTTATTCCTTCACATAAGTATATTTTAGGCCATAAATGCCTTTATCTTAATGCATTCAAGAGACAATTTTTATTTTATTCTATTGCAGGTGAAGTATATGCAAATCCAGTTGTATGGAGTGATTATATATATTTTTAAAATAACTTCTCTCCCTCTGTCTCTGCTTCTCTCTTATTCTTTCTGATCTCTCTTCCTGTTTGTCCTTCATATGTTTTCTCTAAAATGTACATATGTTATTGTAGCACATTAAATAATATAAAACTAAAATAAAACAGGTCTTTTTTTACTTACGATTGATGCAAACACATGGTCCATTATTTAATTTTTTTTTTTAAGTCAGGGGTCTCACTCTGTCACCCAGGTTGAAGCGCAGGGGCAGGATCATGGCTCACCACAGCCTTGACCTCCTGTGCTCAGACAATCTTTCTATCTCGGCCCCCCGAGTAGCTGGGACTGCAGGCATGTGCCACTATGATTGTTATTTTTTTGACTTTTTTTTTTTGTAGAGACAAGATCTGGCTATGTTGCCCAGGCTGGTCTCAAACTCTAGGCTCAAGTAATACTTTTGCTTTGGCCTTTCTAAATGCTAGGTTGCAGGCATGAGCCACAGTACCTGGACTAATTTTTCTTATATTAAATATCAAAGTCTTCAGAGAAGTCTCCAGTAAAATAAAGAAAAAATTAATGATATTGCATTTTGTAATAATGTGAACAAAATTGGTATAAGATATGTTGGTCTCAACGCGTACATCATTTATTAAAATAGTTGCATATAAAATTCCACAGTCTTGTCTTTTACAGGTGATAAAGTTCTCTCCCTCCCCCTTGCTTTTGAAGGTACCTTTTAAAATTTGCTGAATGTTTGGTCTTTACAGAAAACGTGCTAACAAAGGATGGATCAGAAAAATAGAACTTCTTTCACTGGATTTATCCTATTGGGTTTCTCTGACAGACCTCAGTTGGAGCTAGTCCTCTTTGTGGTTCTTTTGATTTTCTACATCTTCACTTTACTGGGGAACACAGCCATTATTGTATTGTCCCAACTGGACCCACACCTTCACACCCCTATGTATTTTTTCCTCTCTAACCTCAGTTTTTTGGACCTGTGTTACACTACCAGTATTGTTCCTCAGCTCCTGGTAAACCTCAGGGGCGTAGACAAATCTATCTCCTATGGTGGTTGTGTAGTTCAGTTGTACATATCTCTGGGCTTGGGGTCTACAGAATGCATTCTCCTAGGAGCTATGGCATTTGACCGCTATGCAGCTGTTAGCAGGACCCTCCATTACACAGTAATCATGCACCCTCGTCTTTGTGTGCTGATGGCTTCTGTATCATGGCTCATTGGTTTTGCCAACTCCTTATTGCAGACACTGCTCATCTTCTTTTTACCACTTTGTGGAAGAAATAAATTAGACCACTTCTTTTGTGAGGTCCCTCCATTGCTCAAGCTTGCCTGTGTGGACACTGCTATGAATGAATCTGAGATCTTCTTTGTCAGTGTCATCATTCTTTTTGCTCCTGTTGCATTAATCTTGTTCTCTTATGGTCGAATTGTCAGGGTAGTCTTGAGAATAAAGTCAGTAGCAGGACAGAGAAAAGCATTTGGGACATGTGGCTCCCACCTCACAGTGGTCTCCCTTTTCTATGGCACAGCCATCTATGCTTATCTTCAGCCCAGCAGCAACTCTCAGAACCAGGACAAGTTCATCTCTCTCTTCTACACCATCGTGACACCCATGATCAACCCCCTCATATATACACTGAGGAATAAGGATGTGAAGGGAGCACTTAAGAAGATGCTCTGGAAGGACTATGACTTCAGATGACTGGGTGATGACAACAATACAATGGAAGGATTTTGAATGCCAGAGTTCTTAAGACATACATGTTCTCCATGTGTTATCCAAAATCCCTCTGCAACTCTCAAGGAAATTTCCTTTTTTTTTTTTTTATTTTAAAGATGTGGGTCAGGTAAACAAATTCAGGGTCAGGTAAACAAATGTTCATTATGCAGGCACCCTTATTGATGAGGTGTTTTTCACCTAATTCTCTTAAGAAAGTGAGCAATTAAAATCCAAGTTCATGATTTCAGTCCCACTTCCAGAGATTATGATTCAGTATTCTTAGAGCTCCTGCATGATTTTTATAATTTTTAAAAAGCTCCTCAGTTTTTTTTCCCCCACCTTATTTGGGCACATTATTCTATTTCATTGCAAAAAGACAATTAAGTATTTACTATAAAGGTAGAGTCATCATAAAAACATGAAACTTGTGAGGCACTGTAAAGAATTTTAACATTTTGGCATTTTCTAGAAATTGCTAGTGGGATATTACTTATTTTTGTATTTTGATCACTGCTGTTTTATGACGTTCATAGATTGACAGTATCAGAGTTTTTTCATAGAAGTAGGTGGGGCAACTGTGGGGAAAAAAAAAAACCTTGAAGTTCAAAGAAAAAGTTGCTAACATCAATTTTGATAATTTCTGATAAAGACATCCGAAATTAGACCCAAGTGTGACCTCGCCAGCAGGGCAGCATGCTTTGCAGCATTTATTTCAGAGACGGCTGTACACAAGAATCCCTGGGGGGAAGGGTATGAGCCTGTGCCACCAGTGACAAGGAATCATTGGCTGGTAATCTCACCAGGCAGGGCTTTTGTTTACTTTGTACTTAGAGAAACACCAGTGTGAGGTATGGGGGTCTGTCACTTAAGTTTGTGAGTCATCTTCTTCCTTTTTAAAAGTGACTTTTGAGGACATTATCATATCTGACTAGTACATGACTCAAGTCCTATTCATAACTTACACATTTACCTATGGTAAAGCAGTAAAACTTTCAAAGGGTAAAATATGTTTAGATTACTCTCTTCATATCATTTTACAAATTCTTTGATTCAGGTATCAATTTGTCAGGGCATTTGTGTCTCACATCTGGCTAGGAAAGACCCCAGATAATTTCAATTCAGGGTCACATAAATATATGGGAAATAGCCCCTTATTCTCAGGAAACTCATGTTCTGTAGAAACTTACTCAAATTCACCAGGAGAAAATTTAAATAATAAACAAAGCAAATTTTAATTTTAAAAATTATGCCTAAGCTTTGAGATCTGTAAGGTTAATAGCCATCTCACTATGAAATAACTGTCATACAACTCTTAATTATTAATAATAAACATATAAACATACTTGAATAATTGAATCTGACATTCTAACCCTTAGATCCCCACTCAAACTCAGTCTGCAATGTACATTTATTTTGAGTTGTAGATCCTCATTTTTACATAAGTTTAATGTCATGAATAGTGTATTTTTTGATGGACATTAGAGCTTTGAGAATGCTATCATTACAGAAACGGTTCTTTTTTGGGTATGTTTTTCCAGTATGTAGCATATTGTATTACTGAATGGAGATACATACATAACAATTATGACAGAGGTTCCTCCTGTGAAAGCTATCTTACATTCTTCTCAGCCTTGAAGCCCCCCTTAGCTGGTCATGTTAATGACAAGCGATGTTGCAATCTAGATGGCATTTGGTAAGCAAAACAGCTAGAGCAAACTGATAGCAACTATGCTGGTGGGAATGCAAACTAATGGAACCTCTTTGAAAGACAGGGTGGTGATTTCTAAAAGAACTAGAAATTGACCTTCCATATGACCCAGCAATCCCCCTGTTGGGAATATACCCAGAGGAACTCAAGTCATTCTACCAAAAAGATACCTGCATACGCATGGTTGTTGCAGCTCTAGTCACAATAGCAAAAACATGGAACCAACCAGGCTGCCCATCGAAGCCGGACTGGTTAAAAAAATGTGGCACATATACACAATGGAATACTATGCAGCCATAAAAAAGGACAAACATATGGGCTTTGTAGCAACTTGGATGGATTTAGTCTATCATACTTAGTGATCTATCACAGAAACAAAGAACAGAGTACCATACATTCTCACTTGTAAATAGACCTTGAACAATTATCACAGTACTGTAAGAAAGGGATTGGCAGTAGTGGGAAACTGCCAGGGGAGGAGAGTAGGATTGGCACTTGAGGGAAATTTTCAGGGGAGGGAGGTGCACATCTCATCAACAAGGGCACCTGCATAATGAACATTTGTAAACTTAACTTATTTAATTGTACCCCACATCTTCAAAAAAAAGAACATACAAAAGCACTGCCACTAAACCAGATTTATATTCCATGTAAAGTAAATGTTTATATGCCATTTGAATGTCTGTATCACTTAAGACTAAATTACAGATTATAAGGATTTCCAAGTCCCATGCTGCAACAAAATCAAAACAAAACAAAACAAAAACACTTAAAGACCAAATCTAACAAGTTCAGTATGGTAAAGATTCTATGTATCCTGCATAGCATCACAGTATTCACATGTGAAATCAACACTTGAGAAACTGCATATTTTGACAATAATGCTCATCGTATACCAGTATACAAACAATTTTGGAATATTATTTACCCCCACCAGTGACACATTTCCCATTCTTTATTTTTATTTTTTGAGTCAGTCTCACTCTGTCTCTGTTGCCCAGGCTGGAGTGCAGGGGCTCACTCACAGATACTAGATCTGCTGGGCTCAGGCGATTCTTCCACCTCAGCCTTCCAAGGAGCTAGAAATACAGGTATGCACACACACACCTAACTAATTTTTCAATTTATTGTAGAGACGAAGTCTCACCAACCTGCCCAAGCTGGTATCCAACGCCTGGATTTAGGCAATCCTACTCATCTCCACCTCCCTAAGTGCTCCGTAGGCACGAACCACTGCACCCAGCCCTTTATTATTATCCAAAATTACCCTGATAGTTCTACTCAAATGGTTACTTTTTTTTTGAGTTGGAGTCTCACTCTGTCGCCCGGACTGGAGTGCAGTGGCCGCTCCCAGCCACCGCAGCCTCAACCTGCTGGGTTCCGGCGATCCCTCCGCCTCAGCCTTCCAAGTAGCCGGAATTACAGGCATGCGCTACCACGCCCGGCTGATTTTTGATTTATTGTAGAGATGAGGTCTTGCTGCCCAGGCGGGTCTCGAACCCGCGGGCTCAGGCAATCCACTCACCTCAGTCTCCCAAAGGCGCGGGAATACAGGCTGAGCCACCGAGCCCGGCTTGGTTACTTTTTAAAAATACTTAAAATGAACTTTCTTTTGTACAGAAAACTTCAAGAGCTCATGAAAACCACAGATCCTATTGTTCTGTCTGAGCAACTACTTCTCTCTTTTTAAGGAACACACAATATTGTAGCCACTAAACATATATATTTTCTTTAGGTAAACATTTGAATGACATCTGGGATTATCACTTGGGAATAAATTACAGATTATAAACATCTCTGGGTCCCACATGGCAAAACAAAAGAGAAAAGCAAAACAAACAAAACCTCTAAGAGACCAAACAACAAATTCAGTATTATTTTGCAATATTTTTCAGATGGGATCTAGGAACTTTGCCTCACCATGTAGTCTCTGGGCCTTGTCTATAGCAGACCACAGTGTTGCTTAAATTACCACCAAAATTGTTAGGATCGAATTCCTTTTGAAATACCACTGACAACTGTGGAATAGAGAAAGTGATTGTAATCAGGACTTAAATTATTTATCCCATCAACTTTTAGCATTTGGAGTTCAGTGTTATAATGATGTCCTACAGCAATTCATGCATTCTTCCAGTACTTTAACATTCTGAGAAGTACAGAGTGCTCACCATCAGCTCAGGTGGTGAGTGATTAACAGACCCAAAATGTCAGTCAGATCACATGAAACAGAATCTTCAGCCAGCACAAAATTTATTAACAATTAGCAAAGGATACAAAAAGGCGGCAACAGCCCATAAAATATCTATGAGATCCCCAGTAAGACAGATGGAACTTCCTGTGTCTTTCTTTCAACAGCGAAATGTATTTATTTATTTATTTTTTGAGTTGGAGTCTCACTCTCGCCCAGACTGGAGTGCAGTGGCCGCCCGGCGATCCTTCCGCCTCAGCCTTCCCAGTAGCCGGAATGGCAGGCATGCGCTACCACGCCCGGCTGATTTTTTGATTTATTGTAGAGATGAGGTCTCGCTGCCCAGGCGGGTCTCAAACCCGCGGGCTCAGGCAATCCACTCACCTCAGCCTCCCAAAGGCGCGGGATTACAGGCTGAGCCACCGAGCCCGGCTGTGAAATGTATTTTTATTCGAAATGTAGTACTATGGTACAAGTTAGTATAACAAAGGTTATGTCTTTACCCATGTAGCCCTGTTCTGGCTTCAGCACTTTTATTCTTTAGTATAATAGCAGTCTGTATTTTGTAGATTTATTTATAATAAACACTCTAAGCAGATTATATCCATCCTGCTAAAAACATTACTGGATCAGTAAGCAGTATATAACAACTTCTATAAGAAACTCATTTATTTCCTAGTCGGCAAATTTCAGCAGCTACTTTTTGCTAGAATTCTGTTCTGGCAAAGCTTGTTGAGGAGGGAAGACCAGGTTATAGCTCTCCGTTAAACTTTCCTTTGCAGGTGACCTCTGAACTGATGCTTGCATGTAGAATAGCTGAGAGATTCCCCCCCCCCCTCCTTTTTTAGTATCATATTTAGAATCTGATTTGGCAGACTCTGGGAACAAATATGTATAGAAGTGTCTTGGGGATACTCTTTACTGGAAAGGTGGAATATGTGTAAATGCAGAAATAAGGAGATGAATAACTCCCAAATCACAGGTATCAGGGGATGAGGTTCTTGAGATTGTCTTAGAGACTGGACATTCTTGTTCTTTCTTGTAAAAAATTTAAATCTGTTGGTTTACATTGTCTGGTGAATTTAC